ATAAAATACCTGGCATCATACACATATTAGATTCCATTAGAAATGGATAAAAATATTAAAAATGGATAGGTGTATGAATATTTTGTTGTTGACTGTTTTTATATATATATATATATATATATATATATATATATATATATATATAATCTTGAAATTTACGCAGCTTTATAAGCATGCTTATTATTCCAAAAATTTCGCTTGAGGATGAAACAGAGCTTGATACTTTAATTCAATTTAATTTTAATAATTATATTGAAGTTTTTGGATCCTGTTTTTGAAACATGAGAACTCTTTTTGTAGCAAAGGAATCATATTTTTAAAAAATAATTATAATTTAGGCGCTACTTTTGTATTGTTTTTAGTACAAAAATACTGAAGAACTTTGGATTATTTACCTAACATGTTCTTTCCTATTTTTCTATATATTTGCACATATATAATTTCATACACACACTCACTGCAAGCCTCGAGAGCCACTCGAGGTTACTAAATGAAGTGTATGATATTAATATAAGAGGAGATGAAGATTATGAAGGTAAGGAGGATAGATAGTGATTGACCCTTGACCTGAAGGAGTTAAGATCGTAGTGTTCAAGGAAGTATCCACGTGGGAGTCTGTACCATAATGTAGCAGTTCCTGGAACTTTCTCCTTAAATTTGAGCGCAGAAGAAATGAGTGTGATTCAACTCCATTTAGATAGCTGAAATGTCTGAACTGGTGGGACTAAAGAAGGGAGCTCATCTGAACATTTGCCATGAAAATAGCAATAGGCTTGCAATGTTGCTTCTGCAGAGGCAGGGAATGAGTCTTCACACACACATACACAAAAGACCATTTATAAATAGATGGCTGAAAAGGGAGTGGGAGGGATGGTAAGGATACCAATATAGAGCTTCAAAGGATAGGAAATTGTGCCAAGCAACATATAAAAGTAGTAGTAGTTAACAAACACCTTCACTTGGAAACAATTTTTAACTATCATCATCATCCTTATGGTTGGTTGGAACTGATAGTTCTTTCAGTAGCTGATACAATATGTGGGACACCAACCCTACATCTGGGTGTTTTTTTTTTTTTTTTTTTTGTCAAGACACCATCTCAAGAAAGCCTGCCAACCAAGGCTAAAGACTTCTTTCAAGTCCATGAAGTGAATTATCCCATGCCAGACAACAATTTGGAATTTGAATTTTTTAACTATAGTGATAAACTAAGAGAAAGTCTACAAACATTTTTTTGTGCATCAAGAAGTATAAAATCTTTTTTAATGTGTTGTTTTTTTTTTACCATTGTTGTGTCTCTTCAGAATGACAGCAGTCATGGATCTCTACAGATTCTTTGTCATTACTCTTTGGGAAAGATAGTGGAGTGTTTTCCTATTCCTTTCATAGTTTTTAATTCAGAGTAGTTCTTATGGACTGACAGTCACCCAGTGCTAAAGAGTTCAGTCTATCCTGCTATTTCAACCATAGTTGGAAGGAGAAGAAATGGATTAATGTCTTTCCCAAATGCATTGATACGAAATTGAATGCAGGAATTTGAACTCTGCTTGCTAATTCTATTTTTGAAAAGTTCTTGACAAAAAACACTTTAAAAAAACTTTAGCAAAGGATCAACCACTTTTTGTTTTTAGCGCTTCTTTGACAGGCTGAGAATTTTTCAGCACCTCCTTATAAAAGTCATCGTTGACTTTTAATTTTAACAAGCAAAACTGGTTTAAATTTTATTATGGTACATCTTTTTTTCTAATTTCGGAATATAGCAAATTCACATAATTTGATAATATCGTATTAAATATAAAATCATACGAGTTTGAATCTCGCCTGAGAGTTCTTTATTTCTGATCCATGCTGCTTACGTAACGGTCGTAGAATAACGACCTGAGAGTGGCGACAAAAAGCAATAGAAATGAATAGTCTGTTTATCAGTTTAAAACGCCCTTGATTTATTTGTAAGCAATAACTCTTAAAATATCGAGCTGAGTTACTTCCCCTGCGTAGCGTCCTTCACATGAATAGTGAAGATTGAATTAAATTAAGATAAAGATTGAATAAATTATATTATTTTTATTTATTTTTCAATTAAGCATTTAAAATAGCTTTAATGGTAGATATTAGATGAAAATTTGAGATTAGACTATTAATCAGATTGTAAAATATTGAATATAAACAAAAGGACTTATGCGTAATAATTAAAGACTTATTAATTTTAATTTATTTTATAATGCATTGTTAGTTATTAATTTTGATTTTTTTCATATCATTTATGTTGCTTTTTATCCCAATTCTCAGACCATTGCTGAGCTGTGTAGATTGGAAATAAGCCTTGTGCAAGATATAGCAATGAATTTATTAGATGTCACTGTCATTCAAATTTTTTTTTTTTCTATTTTTTTCTTTCAGTTTATTTATTTTATTTGTTTCCTTATTTATATCTTGTAGTACTAAATATAATAATCATATTACCTGTATTTCTTAGGTGTAGCAGGATGTGTAGGTGGTGTAATGCAGGTCCAGAATGAAAAATCACAGAGTTAAGTTCAAATTCCAGTCAGGTTAATTTCATTCACTTCTATGCAAATACCCTTGGGAAATGTATGGATCTGTTTGGTTTATTTTGTTTAATGGCATATCAACCTCAATGGGTTATTTAATGCCGACAACATTTTTAGAATAGATTCGTATGAATAGAATATGTATTCTTTGGTTTAGATTGGTTTGGTTTATTTTGTTTTACGGCATATCAACTTCAATGGGTCATTTAATACTGGCAAAAATTTTTATTGCTGGTAATATTTTGTTTTGTTAAAAATCTGTTTCTGGTAATATATTTCCTTCAAAATTGTATTGCTGGTAATAATTTTTTTCAAAAAAGTATTGCTAGTAATAGTCAACTATTTGCCCATAGCTGGGACCCTAACAGGTGCTAACACCCCAGGCCAGGGTGGACCTGGGAACACCAGCAATTAAGAGGTGGTTCCACTCTCCTCAAAACCTCCTGATCAGAGGCCTTGCTGCTGGATGTAGTTTAACGTCTTACCCAGGACTAGAATAACAATAATAAACAGCACTTACCTGCGTAAGGGTCCCAGCTAGCATCCAGCTGGCAGACAAAAATAAAGCAGGTTGTAACTCAATACAAACCCTGCAAACTAACTGATGAATCAATCTGGTATTTATACAGAAATACTTCCACTCATGTACCATCAGCCAATCACAGCCCAAGCAATGGACTATCCCACTTTAGCACAATGAGATGCTCCATGGCACCATAAATAGCCCTCTTAAGGTTGAGTTATTATTCACTCAGCTTGCTCCACAAGTGAGTGTTTATCTCAACCACATGATTTTTCTACAAGGACGTGTATGGATCTGTCTTCTCTTTACAGGTATGGGTTAGATAGTAGGACTTGTATCCAGAAAATCATTATTCTCAAAAATATTGTTAATGCAATATTCACTCATAAAAAAGAATTATTCTTACAACTCCAAACCTGTATTGGCTTTAAATAGCCAACAAAGGGTTAAGTCATAAAAAAAAAAAAAAATCAGTAGTTGCAGTGGTTCTCGGATATAATTTTTGGCAAAATCCTTAACGGTTATCACTCTGTAATCTCAGTTTCCATACAAATCCTGCCACTGAAGGTGACTCTGATCCCTGAGCAATAGTGTTTTTGAATTTCATAGTTGTGTTGTCATATCCTGCTAAGGCAACAGAAAACAACTTTGAATGAAATTAACAGTAAGCATATTGCACATAAGAGGCCTTGAAAAAAAGAATGCAGTGGAAAGGGAAGTAATATTAATAATGCAGAGTGCTAATGATTAATGTTCTCAAAATTTATGTGCAGAGTACTAAAGAATTTTTATATTATTTAGGTGATTATAGTTAAAATAAGCCATTATAAGATAACTGAAAGTACATTTATTGGGAAAAGTCTAAAAGAGAAGAACATTTTTTAAACATAAAAAAATTTCTATGTAAAAAGATAAAATTTACACAGCATTTAAAATATATCAAATTAAGCTTCAAATTAAGTTTTTGTTTTTAAACATGCATAGGTATTGAGTTATTACAAATGTTATACCATTCGAGAAATTATATTCAAATGAGAGGTGGCATTGGTGTTAGTTCCAGTCCTTGTTTTTTTTTTTTTTTTCTGTTAAATATTCATGTGCATTCATGTGTCTACTACGATGTCCTCATGCCAGGTATAAATAAAAGACAACATGTGAACTAGTCAAACTGTGTGATAGACTTTTATTCTGATTGCAGACTGAATCAAAGTAGTAAGATAAGTTAAAATATCTTACTGTGTCTAGTCTATATTTGCTTTTCCATTTTTCTGCTTCTTTGCTTTTGTATTTCCGTTTTATGCTTGCTTCTTTGCTTTTGTATTTCCGTTTTATGCTTTCTTCTTTGCTTTTCCTTTTTTTTTTGCTTTCTTCTTTGCTTTTCCTTTTTTTTTTGCTTTCTTCTATGCTTTTCCTTTTTTTTTGCTTTCTTCTTTGCTTTTCCTTTTTTTTTGCTTTCTTCTTTGCTTTTCCTTTTTTTTGCTTTCTTCTTTGCTTTTCCTTTTTTTTGCTTTCTTCTTTGCTTTTCCTTTTTTTGCTTTCTTCTTTGCTTTTCCTTTTTTTTGCTTTCTTCTTTGCTTTTCCTTTTTTTTGCTTTCTTCTTTGCTTTTCCTTTTTTTTGCTTTCTTCTATGCTTTTCCATTTTTTTTTTTTTTTTTGCTTTCTTTGCTTTTCCAATTTTTTTTTGGTTTTATTCTTTCACATTTTTTGCTTTCTTCTTTGCTTTCCCCTTTTTTGTGCATGAATTAAATATTTTTGAAAGACCAAATAACCACTCAAACTTTCATAAGTTAAACCACCAAAAGTTAAATCTTATCAACCAATGAACATGCTTTTTTTTAAATAAAAGAATAGATTCAGTAATAAATGAATATGAATTAAATATGGCAATAATCTTTCAGATGATAGACTTTTTAAAAGAAGTAAACTTACTTTTTCTGATTGTTTAGCATGGGAGGTGGTATTGGTGTTAATTCCATTCCTTGCTGAGGATGATCTAGCTTTGACTCTGCAGTGGGCACTGGTGATCCTGTAGGTGCCAATGGCTTGATACCAGTTTGGTTAGGCAAAGCTGAATTTTGCAAAGACTTTCCTTCAACAACAGTGTTCTCAAATAGTAGTTCCTGGTTTTCTTGCTTTTTACGCTTCTTCTTTTTCTTTCTGACTACTGATTGCCCCTGGGGTAGTGATGGGGCATTGGTGAGAGGTATAAGAGCACTTGGTAATCTTCGCATATCACTTTTCTTTGCACCAAGACTTGGCCCTAAAAAAAAAACAAGTAACATATATATATATATATATATATATATTAAGAAATGGACAAGGTCCGACAATTTATTTATTTAAAGACATTTTTATGTTTAACGTTGTTATTTTATAGATACAAGTATTTAAGCAAATGCTCTGTTTATGATAAACAGTATTAAATAACATTTACCGGCCTGAATGTCCGAGAAATTTTCATAGGTTCGAATCCTGTCAAAGAATGAATATTTTCTATGAAAATTTCTCGGACATTCAGGTCGGTAAATGTTATTTATACTGTTTATCATAAACAAACATTTGCTTAAATACTTGTATCTATAAAATAACAACGTTAAACATAAAATGTCTTTAAATATATATATATATATAGTTGAATAGATCTTTTAGATTATCGTTAAGTCGTTATATGTGCACTCGCACACACTCATCTATCTATTTCTTCTCTCTCTCTATATATATATATATATATATATATATATATATATATATATATATATATATAATTTCTGAACTCTCCTGTTGTCTTCAACATGTAAAAGTCCAACAGTCCAGCTTTTAAAATTGAACAGCTGAATTACCCAGATATGAATTTGAATACAGTGGTGAAGGCTTGTGTAGAAGCAACAACACTTTTCAGAAGAACTGAATTCAGAGAACTGGTGCACATACTGTGCTACCAGCCCTCATCAGGTTTGAATTCAGAATTGTCTTTCTAGACTGGTTGCCAACCAAGTTTTTAGAGCTCCATCTACCTTACTATTTAACCCATAACTGGGGGGAGAAGAGATGAATTCATACCTTTCCCAAGAGAATTTGTGTATTAGTGAATATAAGGAACTCTAGTGGAATTCATTCAGCTCTCTAATTTCTCATTCTGTGCCTCTCTCTCTCTCTCTCTCTCTCTCTATATATATATATATATATATATATATATATATATATATGAATAATAAAATATAGTTTTAAGGTATGCTATATTTTAGGGTTAAAGGGACCAATATAAGGGATAGTGTATGTAAATATAAAAGTGGATATTGAAGTCAATGCCCAGAGGCTGATAGATGAAAATAAATAAACTGTTTAATAAATAAAAACAGAGCATCTACTCAGATATGAGTATCCATTAAAAGTAACGTTTAAATATATCGGATTCACAAATGAGAAAAACATTCCTAAAAATTTCCTTTGTTTACATTAGGATACAAAACAGAGCAGATATGTATATTTCAAGAATCAGGAAAGATGTGTGTTAAATAGCACTATTCGGCTTTGATTGATCAAGAGGTCTTAAGAGGCCAAGGCATGTCAGATCTAATGGCAGTTTCCCCTAGGGGACAAATGTTTGTATCCTGCCGAAGGGCGCATATTTTTCTAACAAGATTTCTCAAATATTCAGTGCAATAGATGAGAATAAATAAATATACTGTTTAATAAATAAATAAAAACAGAGCATCTACTCAGATAGGAGTATCCATTAAAAATATCATTTAAACAAATAAATTATATATATATATATATATATATATATATATATATATATATATATATATATATATATATATATATTATTTTTCCCTTTTTTCACCACAACTTTCATTACTACTATGAAAGTGGGTGATAAAAGATTAAAAGTATTTTTCTTTTTTTCCTTTTAACAATAAATTGCAGATAGAAAGGGGGAGGCATGGTGGAGTAATGGATAGTGTCTTGGATTGAGGAATTGGGAAGCAGTCTGAATTCCAGTCAAATCCATTACATTCCTCTTCTCTCCCCCAACTATGGGTAAATAGCAGGGAAGACTGGGTTCTATAGCCTTGGATGGCAACTGGTCTACTGCAGAAAGAAATGGCAACCTACTGCAGGAAAAAAATCTACCTTGTCAGTCATGTATCGAAAGATGCATGATCGCCTAAGCCTGTATCACGCATGGCACATAACTGACTGTAGGTATAACCTACCTTGTGGCTTAAGGTCAGTGTTTGACTTAAAGTACAGGCTAGTATTTTAAAGGCTGATTTTCTGGGCCCACTGCACTTGAAAGACACTTTTCTTTACTTTATGGCTCTTTGATTTGGTCCTGTGCCACACATATTCAAGAGTGTATACTTGGGATTGTATCAATAAACAAATATAGTTGAGATCTTTTAGGTTGAGTTAAATTCTTAATTGTTTTTTGCATCAATGGTTCAAATCTCACCATGAGCGATTTGTCAAGGAGTTAACCTTTGATAATATCAATCTGCGGAGACAATAACAGCATGTATACCACAGTTCATCCAAGCTTTGTGAGTGAAAATAGGTAACTGAAACTGTTGGGAAGCCATCAATGGTTGTGCTAGCATGAAGTCACAAGTCATCATGACTGAGGGTTTTAATGTACTAACCTTGTTCAAATCATGCCAGATTATGTATTCTCTCCCAGAAATTGAAAGTCCAATTGGCAGTTCTAGTATAAAATATACATGGGCTCTGAAAATGTGTCAGAGCAAGTGTTTGCAACAGGGATTGGTTAGATGCCTTGCAGAGATATATATATTTTTTATTTTGAATACTAGTAGGTTCACTTATTCCAAGCCTCCACATACAGCTGGAATTTGAGTGAGTGTCATTCTATTTTTAAAAAAAAACTTTCAAAATGCCTCTCCTGTTGTTAAACAAAGTGAGGTTGATAGTGGGATAGGGCCTCTCATATAGTAAAATATTTTTAGTAATTTCATTTATATACAATTTTGATGTTTTTGACTAGAATTTTTCTTAAGGGTTCTTGTAGATTGTGTATAGATGTTTGTTTTTTTATTGCACTTTACTCTAAGTGACAACACAAAAAATACATCTCAAACTGTCAAAATAAAAAGAGAAACTAACAATACCAAAACAAGACCTTCTAGAAAATGACTAAGGAAGTGGCTGAAAGCACTTGAGGGAAAATGGAGGGTATGAACAGTTTTTGTACTCCATCACTTCCACCAAACGGAAAAATATAAGAATACTGGATAAACTAAAAAAAATTAATAAAATTTTACTTCTCTGTCATATTTAACGAAAGATGTTTAAAAGAAAGGTAACTGCCAAATATACATTAATCATACATATATTTAAAGGGTGCCCTTGAGCTAGCTCCTATTCTCTCTAAACTGTATAATAAATGTCTCATTGCCTCCTGCTTTTCTGCTTGCTGGAAGTCCTCGTCTGTTGTTCCAGTTTTTAAGAACTCTGGTGAACTGTCCGACCCATCCAACTTCTGCCTCTTTTTGGAAACTCCTGAGTGGAAATACTCGGGTCCCCACTTTAAAAACTAATGAGCCAGTTGTATGTTGCTTGGAACAGATACAACACTTTGATTGTAGGCATTGTGTCTGAGTTTTACCTTAACCTCCCCATTGAGTCAGTTTTGGGAAACTCCTAGAGGGCCTAATCAATGCTGAATTAGTTCATCATCTCTCATTGTAGGGCCTTTCCTCAGACAAGCAATATGGCTTTCATTTTTCCAGAATTGCAGAAAGAGTGTATCATGCTCTAGATAGATACTGTGAAGCTCGGGCAACAGCATTGGGCATCTCGATAGTTTTTGACAGGGTCTACAACATTGGGCATCTCAATAGTCTTTGACAGGGTCTACAGCATTGGGCATCTCAATAGTCTTTGACAGGGTCTACAGCATTGGGCATCTCAATAGTCTTTGACAGGGTCTGGCATTAAGGTCTTCTCTACAAGCTGAAAAGTTACGGTATCTCTTGGCACATTTTGAGCTGATCCTATCGTTCCTATCAAATTGTGAAATGAAAGTTGTCCTAAATGGCCACTCTTCAGTCAGACAAGGTAAAAATGGCAGCTGATATACAAAATGACTAGACTATCATCAACCAGGGCAAAAGATGACTTGTCAATTTTCACACCTCTAAAACTAAACCCCCCTCCATTAATCCTCTAAGAGACCCCTGTTTGCCTTTCATCAGCATGGCTGATGCTATCCTCCAGGAAAGTGACTCGTTGTGCCTTTTCAGGCTAAAGTTCTCATCTGACATGAGGTGGAAAGACTATATTGAATCCATTGCTAGATCAGCGGCTAAGAAAGTTACCGTTAGGTGGGACAATTTTTCTCTTTGGAATCTGTCTTGCATATCTGTAAGTCTACTCTTCACCCATGCTTAGAATATTGCTGCCATATATGGTCTGGTGCCCCTGCTATGTACCTGGAGCTCCTTGATAAGATCCAAAGAAGAATCAGCAATATTATTGGTCCTGATCTGGCAGCTTGGCTTCAGTAACTTGCCCACTGCCAAAAGGTTTCCTCTCTGTACCTTTTTTTTATAAATGCTTTTATGGTAATTGTTTGGATGAGCTCTATGCTATGGTACCTAGACTGTATGATTTTAAGCATAATACTAGACTGGCAGCAAGATCTCATCAATTTACACTTGATGTAGTCATAACTTCTATACTAACAGTTTCTTATGCACTTCTCACATGTGGGAATCCCTCCTGGCTCCATGTTTTCTAACCAACTTTAATCTGCAAAATTTTAAATGAAATGTCAATTGCTATCTACTGTCCTCCTGATTGCTCTTTTCTCTTTCTCCTCATCATTAATGTTTCTGTTCTTAATTCTTTCTCTTTCTCCCCATCATTAATGTTTCTGTTCTTAATTCTTTCTCTTTCTCCCCATCATTAATGTTTCTGTTCTTAATTCTTTCTCCCCATCATTAATGTTTCTGTTCTTAATTCTTTCTCCCCATCATTAATGTTTCTGTTCTTAATTCTTTCTCCCATCATTAATGTTTTCTGTTCTTAATTCTTTCTCCCATCATTAATGTTTCTGTTCTTAATTCTTTCTCCCCATCATTAATGTTTCTGTTCTTAATTCTTTCTCCCCATCATTAATGTTTCTGTTCTTAATTCTTTCTCCCCATCATTAATGTTTCTGTTCTTAATTCTTTCTCCCCATCATTAATGTTTCTGTTCTTAATTCTTTCTCCCCATCATTAATGTTTCTGTTCA